GCGGTGGCGGCGGCGGCGGCGGCAGCAACGCGCCCGCTTGCCCGCCCGCCCGCTCGCGTGCTGCTCCTATCGTTGTCAACAAAACGGTGAGAGGCAGGTTTCCTCTAGAGCCCGTCCCGTATCCCCAGCCTCATCAACACCCCTTCTCTATATTAATATAGAGATATAGAGAATATAAAGATAATATAGAGATAATATATTATATTAATGCTTCTCGAAGGGCCAGTAATATTGAAATTACGGATGTTCGGGTTGATCAAGCACCTTCGAATTTCGATTACCCGAATTCATTGTGACCACCTATTACTTCGAACTACATACAATTATACTCGGTTAATTGAGAAAGTTGAATAGAAATGAAAGTTGAATACAACGCGATAGCGTTGTTTTCAATTCTTCACTTTAAATTCTTTCTCAGGCATGATTGTTTTATGGCCCTCCAATAGAAATACTTAGGCGGACGGGATGTGGTCTGCGGGCCGACGATTTAGCTCTATTCTAGATTCTCCACAGCCAGGTCTGTCTCATTCACTCATACCGCACTCGATATTTATTCCATGTCGTTAGCAGCAGCGTTGTAGTTTCGGCTCAGAGACAAAACTTCCATGAAAGAGAATAATATATTATATTTGCACAAGTAAACGGGAAATAAATGAAAGATTTGTCTTTCGCTAACAGGAGTTTCATTGAACAGTGTTGGCAAACATTTTCGCCATTACAAGAGATATTTTAAAGTGTTAGTATTTTTTCAGTATTGGTATGAGGGTGAATACAAGTTAGCAACACGTCGACCGGTAACCGAAATGTATCTCTGGATGAGGATCCTGTTGGTTACTAGGCAATTTCGCTGCATCTACGGAACATCAAGGAAGCTACAAGGATCTCAGAGTGAGATCCGTCCCTAATCTTCGGGTAACAAAAACCTTCACACAAACATTTATTTCCATTAGCCTTTTCAGGAAATTCAGTGTGCCAGTACACTGTTCGAAAACCAATTTGATACCAATTGAGAATTTATACATTAATTTTTTGGCATATTGCTATTAATGTAGGTGATCAAGATAAATTTAAAATGTTCACATACCAATTCAAGATTTTTTAATAACTTAAACGCTATTTTAATAACGTATGCAACTTAGTGACGTACTTGTCATCTCAATGCGACGATCCTTCCACATGGACCCCTTCATTACTAAGCACATATTTTAAGAACAGGATGGCAAGGACATACGTTTTATCCGTAAACGGATTCATGTACATTGCTTCCTATACATAACCAACAGTTAGATAGTTAGTCCGGTGATTTCGAGAGATGAAATTGAGAACGCCGTCTCGCCTTGTGGGGCCACGGGACGTCGTTCGATTCGTCTCGCCGTGATCGCTTGCGCTGAGGCAGACGCAAAGGACGGCAAGCGCGACAAGGCCAAGGCGGCGACGCAAACGACGGCGTCGGCAGCGAAGACCCTTGCGACTCGTACCCGCGACCGCGATGCCGCCGCCGCCGCCACCACGACCGCCTCCGCCGCTTCAATTTAGATGCAGATCCGCGGGAGCTGGTCCGGTCTCCGACGCTAAATCTCAGGCCTCGTAAAAATTAATTAGTGTGTCTTGAACACAAGCTCCCTCGCCGGGGCCCGTCTCGTTCGCCCTACCACCTCCCCTCCCCTCCCACTTCCCCCCTTCCCCCCGAGTTCTTAATACCCCACCCTCCTCAATTCCTCGCCGGTCAACTTCCTCCTCCCCGCCCTGTCACCGCTTCGTCCTCCCACGTCGCCACAGCGACGGTTTCTACCAACGCTGCGACTGCTGCTACTAGATCAACTCGCTCAGAGGTCCCGCACCTCGCTATGATATAGAACCATATCCTTGGACGAAGCCTACATGTGCATCCGTCTTTTCTGCAGTCTTTACCCATCCGCTCGCTTCTCGTGGAAGACCTTCTCCAGTGTTTTCTCCTCCATTACTTGCACCTCTTTTCCCGTCCATATTTGTCTTGAATCAAAATCGAAACTAATGCTTTTGCGTCTCTCCCATCGCTCCGGCAACTTTCCCTTACTTTCTCGATGTTTCTCAACATTCCTGTTAGTTCTCTCCGCCTATCTCCACCCCATTTGCCCATTATCAGTAAACATTCTCCACACTTTCTCGGATTTCTCTTCTCCGTCCTGTTCCACCCCTGTTCCGCCTTACTGCCTTCAAGTCCCCACGTCACCGCTTCGATCATTCTCTTGCAGGGAGCTGTGCTTCTCCAGTTCCATCACATCACCTTCTCCACCCGACCGGCATC